TTTATCTAATATAACTTAATTTGGGTTTTGAAGATGAAGGAAGGTCTTGTGGGGTTGTAATGACGCAAGTAATTATTGACAGAATTTTCATTTTTTCTGTGAACTAACCTTTTAAAGGTCCAGTAAAGTGCTTTGAAATGTGCTTTTTTTTTTATTCGATGTTTGACATAACCTCAACTGAGGAATGAAGAGAGGGTGGGACAGTGTAGCTCCTCTCCTTTTAAAGACCGTTTATTTTGCACTATAAAAAGTCATATTTTGGTTTTGGGGGTCTAGAACATCAGACTGATATGCATGCAAGATCAAAAAAACACTTTCATTGTCTTAGTATATGCATTTATTTTTACCTAATTATTCCAACAATGCCCACATAATTTATTCATTTGTTCCCAAACCCCTCCTTAGCACGATGCAAATCTTTGCTGATTGGTTCGATGACCCAGTCTGTTGTGATTGGTCTACTGGGTTTAGCGCGAGACCGAGGGAAATGCTCACCACGGCTATGAAGTAGCAGAGTGTATGAAAGCCCAATGCTGTAATACAACAAAGCAATGCAGTTAAACAGCAGCATATTACTCTACTCTTAAATCTAACCCCAAGTAATAACAACGCTACACATTCAGTATTAATCCACACAGTGGCAAAAGTTGAACTGTTTTGAAAACTGACAGTGCCGTGTGTGTGTAGGAACAGCATAAAGGTGGCCATAGCAAAGACATACAGCAGAGGATCGCCAGTTCAGAAACGCATTTAAATTCGTAAAGGAAGAAGCATGCGTCGTGTTATCAACGTGGTTTTGTACGCAGTATGTGAACAGCTCAATAAAGATTTACCCTGAGAGATACAGTACAAGCACTGATCTATAAGTTATTTATAAGCTGCGTGAAGCGATTAGATGTTACAACACACAATTAAACACATATTTTGCAAACTACACAAAACGAGGCAACAATTTTAATTACACTTGCATGTTATAATCCGGAGGAAGAAGAAACTGGTCCATATGAACTGTTACAGTTACTGACAAAGTTCCACACACAATAGTCTCTGCTGCTCCTTCAAAAGCAAACGGCTGGCAAAGCCCGTGTTGCAGCGTAGGTTATTATATCAATCATCAGAAAATTGACAGGATCAAACACGGCACTGGATTGCCTATACTGTGGTGTTGTTGTGAAAATGAGCAATGAACAGTGAATCTGTCAGCTATTGTTTGCTTCGCGTTGTGATCTGAATCCAGTACTTCATATATGCTAATTTAGCGTATCGCCGTCGACGCGTACAGGCAATAGATCCGAACCCAACACAATTAATTAATTTGACTCTAAGTTGACTATTCCATTAAGGAATCAATAGTTTCAAACACAGTGCACTGTCAGAATAACCACAGCTGGATGTTTATATGCACTTAGAGCTGTGTTACACACTGCATGGAAGCTCATTTTCAAAAACCCATAATAGAGGCTCTTTAATCAAACGGCCAATAGCATTGTGTTTTTATCATAGCTCCGCCAATGAGAATGGTTGAGATCACGCACATCAAATGAGAAGCGTCTTGAAGGGGCCAGGTCATATCAGATTTTAGAGAGTAATTGATTGATCAAGATTTAATGAGAAACAAGTATGAGGTGACGTGAAAAATCGTTGCTCGAGTTAGACCAACTGCAATCTTGGGATGTTTTGTATTTTCTAAATGTGAACTGTCACTGATTTGGAGCACACTAGATTATAGATATTCTGAAAACTGATGGATTGAAACTAACAAAACTTTATTTTGATTTCACAGGACCTTTAATTGATGAACCGTAAGAATAACATGACATACTGAAAAATATGTGTGTGTGCTTCTGTGTAGATACATCGGACATGGTGCAGGAGCCCGCTTTCTGGATGCGCAGAGAGTTTTGAAGGTGCCTGTGAGGGCCGCAGCTCTTCTGTTCGGCTGCAGTAGTGCTGCTCTCAGTGTGCTTGGTCAGCAGGAGGGAACGGGCATCATCCTCAGCTACCTGACCGCTGGATGGTAACAAACTCGCCCAAATACAGAAACCTTGACCTCTGAGATTTTGCTTGATCCTTAAATTAGTTTCTTTGTCTCTTCACTAGTCCATTGGTGCTGGGTAACCTGTGGGATGTGACAGATCGTGACTTGGATCGATTCACATCGGCTCTGCTCCAGTCTTGGCTCTCTGCTGGTTCTGGCTCTTCACTTCTTCAGCATTTGGCGAAATCACGCAGCGCAACTCATTTAAAACATATAATCGGTGCTGCGCCCATTGCGTATGGTTTACCGGTGCATATACACTAGTGCAGATTTTAAATGCAACTTTTCTTATTTACAGGTGCTATAGTGAATTTTTAATGTATAAATGATACTATCGGTAATTTAAGGTGTGATTTAACCTCCGGGTTTGTTTGCTGTACAGGGAATAAGCTCTGTTTTTATTGAAATTAATCTTAAAATCTACGACTAGGCAAAACTTTAACATGTTTAAAGTGTTTTGCAATTTTTAAGTCCTTTATTTTTTGTGTGTGCAGTTGTGGATTTCGTTTGCTCATACCTCAAGATATTTTATCTTAACACTTTTGGTTTTGATGACTTTTGTGCAACTTTTCTTTTACACTTTTTTTTTCTGTTAAATTATATCAAATGTCGATCTGCATTAAAATAAAATGTTTATAGCATTGTTTGACGTTGGTAGTGATTTTAACTTTATATTGTTAACCCTTGTGCACTGTTCAGTTTTACTACTGAAAACATTTACTGAATTAGACTGCTGTAAAAATTCATCAGGTAAATATTTATTACTTCTTTTTTGCATAAATCTGTTAATCAACCTCAGTCCAAATGTTTAAAAATAATTACAGGATTTTAACTCTTTAATTGCCAAGTTCATCAATGATGTCACTGATTTGGTGAAAAAAAACTCAAAATGACGTATTTTTAATATAAAAAGTAATTGTGGACTGGATTTTTTTTAACCTTTTATCACAGTCTAGGACACAGGTGTCAAACTCAGTTCCAAAAGGGCCGCAGCTCTGCACAGTTTAGTTCCAACCCTAATTAAACACACCTGATCAAACTAATTGAGTCCTTCAGGCTTGTTTGAAACCTACAGGTAAGTGTGTTGGAGCAGGGTTGGAACTAAACTGTGCAGGGCTTCGGCCCTCCAGGAATTGAGTTTGACACCCCTGGTCTAGGAAATGTGAATGATGAGTGAACGATTGGCTTTGATGCTTTGTTAGATTTTCATTTTTTTCTCCCTAATTTACTGTCAGTGGCTGTTTTTGCCTCGTATTCCATTATAACCACACTTGATGGTGCATAAATACTCTTTTTGTTTACTCCCTGTAGTTCTGAGCGCTGAAATGCATATTTTGATTTTCTCAGACACATCACGGTAAATGCATGAAAGTTAACTCTCACACAGACACACATACACACACTTTAATTTGCTCTTATACTCTAAATAAAATCCAGAATCAGATTTTTTTTTTCTTTTCTTTTTTTTAAAAGGTTAAAAAAAATCCAGTCCACGATTACTTTTTGTATTGAAAATACGTCATTTTGTGTATTTTTCCGCCAATCAGTGACAGATTTATGAATTTGGTAATTAGGAATTTAAACTGTGATTTCCTAAACAGTTTAGTAGTTTTGATCGGGACTGAGGTTGATTAACAGATTTATGGGAAAACATATTTATCTGATGCATTTTTACAGCAGTTTAAATTAGTGGAGGTTTTCATCCCAAACATAACAAAAGGGTAGCAAATTTGCCCAGAGTGTATCGTTAAGTTCTTTAAAAATGTCAAAGCATTTTCCAAAAACGTGTCAAAATTAAATTTGTCGCCAAAGTCGTTCTGCTAGTTGAAACAGAAAAAGTTGACCAAATGAAGACACAAAATCACCCCAGAGTGGATGAAAACACCCTCAACAGCACACAGGGGTTAACTGAAATGAGGGATGTGCTAGTAAAGGAGTACACATGGAGGAAAAACATGAATTGGTCATCTGTCACTGCAGACTGATGGATAAACCGACAGGCAACAAGGACTGTAAACACTGAAATCGGTGTTCCCATAAGTCTTCAAAATGTCAGGGACAGCGTTTTCAGAGACGTACAAATATCTGACGTACCTGATCTGATGTGATTCTTATGTGCTGAACGGCCAGGTTTAATGGTGAATCTGAAAAAATGAAATATTAATTTAAACAAGTGTTACGGACTTCCTGTCATGAGTTAGTGTTTCAGATGAGATTTTCTGCTTTTGTAAAATACACACTACTCCTGTTGGAGAAAACTCAGGACAATACCAAACACATAAAGGCAAACACACACATACACACACAAACATTAATGAATGCCCATGAGCTTTATAAGGATTTGAGCTGTTTACATTTTCTTCACTTTTTAACTGGTGTGTATTTTTAGTGTTCAATGTCTACTGAAATACAAACCTAATACTTAACAATGAGGCTTAAAATAGTTTAAATTTGTGCACCACATGCATTGACAATGAATAGTTTGTTAATTGATTAATAAGGATTTACTCATGTTTACATACTAATCAAATACATTCCCTGCTGAAAAATCCAGCTTAAACCAGCCTTGGCTGGTTTTAGCTGGTTGACCAGCCTGGTTTTAGAGGGGTTTTGGCCATTTCCAGGCTAGTTTCCAGCCTGGTCTTAGCTGGTCAGGCTGGAAAATGACCAGCCAAATCCAACTAAAACCAGCTTGCCCAGCCTGGTTTAAGCTGGATATAGCTGGTTTTGGCTGGACTCCCAGCTTGGCTAGGCTGGTCAAGCTGGTTTTAGCTGGTCATCTCCCTTTTTTTTTTAAGGTAATGTTAATACATGCTGTATAAATGCACTGTTAGTTTATTTAGTCGACGTTTTATTTGTTAAAGTATAACAAATGACTGTAGTGTGTAATGGAAAAATCAATGGTAAAAGTCCTTTTAGTTGTGTCCGCTTGACCCGGAAGTTTTCCACACCCTCTTTTATTGTCAACATGGCGGTGAATCTCACTGAATTGTCTCTTCCACAATTAGAAGGCTTGAAAACTCAGCTTGATCAGGTAAATTGTGTTAAAAATAAAAAATATCATCGTTTCGTATGTCCGAGTAGCATCAGGTGCTGCTGTTTTTCTGTCAGTGAATTAATTTACAGACGGGCTGCGGTTGTCATGCTGTCTGTGCGCGTGCTGCTGCTGCTGGTAATGCGGAAAAAAGCCCTCTATGATTAATAATTTAATGGATGCCGAAGGCGAAAATGAGAATTGTCTGAATATTAGCTCACCTTCTTGTTGTCCACATGGCTGCATTTATTCCGTATGACAGAAAATGAGATGCAGAATGACTTTATCGACGTTCACTTGCATTGTATGTGAATGGTGTCTCTGTCAGTTCTCACTAAACACAACTTGGTTTTATTTTAACGAGTTCACAGTTTGAAATATATTTTGGTACCAAGTCTATTATCTGTATAAGATTAATTTAAAAGACTAATTTTGTTTTTCTGTGAGTAAACTTTTGAAGTTTACATGTGTCCTGATTATCTGTTTTATTTTGACCGTCATATTTATTTTACTGTATTTTACAGAAGACCCCAACAAAAATGTCATAACAATAGTTTATATATATTAAAAATTCTGGGCAGCCATATTTTTAGACCAAGATTATTTTGATGGCATTTAACTACTTAAAGGTTAAACTGTAGCTCCCAAATTCTAATTATTTTTCTTTTTTTAAACATGCATAATTTGTCACTATCCTTCAAACCCTTTATTTTACTAATTTTTACTTTTAAGGTTTAAAACCTTGACTATTCCAAACCTTGCCGGTTTACCTTGCAAACAGTTATTGCCCCATACCTAGTACAGAATAAATACTATGTTTTTCCCATTTTTAAATAAATATATCTGTTGCTCTGAATTACCCTGACATCATTTCCTAAATTATTATTATTGTTAATTATTTGATAGATTTTCACTCATTTTTAGATTTTATTTTTACAAAAGTTATTTGAAACATTTAAGTTAACACTTTGCTTGTGTTCAATGTGCTTTCTGTGAATATAAATGCAATAATGTTAATTTACTTTGAGACACCAAAAAAGGACGTCTCAGGGCAGATTTACACGTTATTTTGTATAAATTGCTTAAAAATGTGTTTTCTAGGAAACAGAGTTCCTGTCATCGTCTATAGCTCAGCTGAAAGTCGTCCAAACAAAATATGTGGAGGCCAAAGACAGTTTGAATGTGCTTAACAAGAGCAATGAAGGTGACTTTTAAAACTCTTTTATGACGTTTTTAGCTAAATCTGACGTTTGCTAATTTTTTTTAACTTTTTCTCTCAGGAAAAGAACTACTCGTCCCTCTCACCAGTTCTGTATCCTCTAAACAGCTGAGTTATAAATGAGTGCTGATTGATTTATGCCACATAAGAAAGTCACACAGACAGTTTGATGTGTGTGTAATTAATTTGCAGTGGTCCGTTATTCCCTTAACCTCAGTCATGTAGATGTATGTACCTGGAAAGCTGCATGATGTGGATCATGTGTTAGTGGATGTGGGAACTGGTTATTTTGTGGAGAAGGTGAGTAAGAATCAGTCTAGTAGTTTTAGTATATGTAAAAATGTCAAAACTGAGTAAATCACATTGCCTTTTCTGTCTTTTCAGAATGTAGAGGACGGCAAAGAGTTCTTTAAACGCAAAATCGACTTCCTTACTAAACAAATTGAAAAGATTCAGCCTGCTCTTCAAGAAAAATATGCCATGAAACAAGGTGATTTTCTTGTCTTTTGAAAAACATGTTTCTTATGTTCACCATAGATGATAAAAATACAGTACATTTTTATTGTATTTCTTTTTTCACTATTTTCAAGTAAGCCTGTCACAATAATCAATATAACGACTGAGCGTACAACATATGGACATGACCTCAATCATTTTTGGTGATGCAATATAAATCACCCATACATAAAGACCAATTCTGGCAATATTTTTGATGTTTGTGCAACATCTCTATCTATTGGAGATGTCAGTATGGTTAAAAATCACGATTGTATTTACTATAGATTACTGTCGTATATTTTCATGTGGGTGTCTAACAACTGAAAATAGATCTGGGGTCCGTTCTTCGTACCTCGCTTAAATGATATAAGATGATTTGGCAGATCCTGGATCTTTTCATCTTGATAACTGATCTCTGGCTAATTTGGTTCTTCAAACAAGTTTGCGAATCCGATTAGAATGTCTGGATAAACTGATCTGAGATCGCTGCATGTGTTGTGAAGGACAGATCCATCGATCCTCGAAATCATGATCAGCAATGCAACGATTGGCTGACGGCACAGCAGCGTAATGACATCATCTGATTAATATTCAATTATCCATGTGAGCAAAATTACATCAAACAAGCAGTAAACGGTTTGTTGTGAGCTGCAGGCTTAACACTTTCATGTGTCAAGAGTATTCATTATGTATTTTAAAGCATATCAATGTATTTAGTTCTACATTTAGAGAAGATTTTCTTTATTATAGTAGCTTAGGCCTACTCAAGTTTTTTTTAATTGGAGTAAGGAATAACTGTATTAATTAATTTTCCATCAAAAAAGCATTTTGATAAAGGTGAAGGTGTCTGCAACCTTTGTGAAGCAACATATCACCGGCATATTGGCGATCACAACATGTGCATGACTGCATAAATCAGTATCCTTTTTTAAAAAAAGTTGAATATTGTGCATTTGCATTGTATTTAAAAAGTTCATATCAATACATTTTCTCTTTGAACCACCAGGTGGCAGTCTTTACTTATTTCGGAGTGCAGATTGCATAAGTTTTATTTATCTATATATTTCTTAAATTATAGTAACTTATAGTTGAAATATATATATATATATATATATATATATATTTACTATTTTTCCAAGTGTATAAAACTACTGTAAGAAAATATCAGCATTTGGTACATACTTAAAGTATTATCTTTGCTTGAACTAACCAGATCTAATTCTGTTTATATCAAATGAGCCTGCTCCCTAGCAGGTTTGACCTACCAGAACTGTTGCTATGACAACAAGTCTCAGATGAGTTTTGAAGAACTAAACAATCCTGGATCATGTCAAATCGCCAATAACCAAATCCAGCTTATTAAGTAATCCATGTACGAAGAACGGACCCCTGGTAGCAGATATTACAGCCTCTGTTACTAAAATATTACATAAAATCTGTTGTGTTCATTATATAGTGAGTGGCATAAAATGGCCTTAAAATGACAAAAATATTGTTTATTGCAATATATTTTGGTACAATAAATCATACAACAAAAAATAGATATCGTGACAGGCCTATTTCCATGTACAATTGTTGCTGTTTAGTATACGAGATTCTTATTGACCAGTTTATTCTGTGATAATTTTTTATAGCAGCTTAGCTGTGCTGTTTTCACTCCACTTTTGTTTTGGAAACAAGTTTACTTTACAGCTCCCCTAGAGTTGAGTTTGACCATTTTTAATCAATTCTGCCAAACTGGCAGGAGCCCTTTAGCTTATTTTAGGAGCCTTTAGATAATTTTCCAGTTTCAAGATTGACTCTTCTGTTGTCAATCTTGAAATCTTGTGGGATTGGGCCTAGGTTTACCCAACTATGATGACAACTTATACTGAGAAAGCTGAAATGTTAAAAGGGTCCATTGGAAAAAATAATAATTTTTTTTTTTTTTTTGGAGCGAGATACTATTGATCTAATCCAAATCAATTATTTATGCTAAGCTAAGCTAAAAGTGCTTCCGCTAGATGCGGAGATCGACTGAATGGATTCAAAAATAGTAAAACTCAATTGAAAAAACCAGTCCAAGGCACTCGAAAAATGTGGGAAAAATATTAAAAAGTCTTTATTGACATGGCTTTTCCTTAAACGGCTTGACGAAACACATTAGCAACCGTTTATTCTGATGAATCCCTTACCAAAAGAGCACTGACACATTATTGAAGCTACCCCTGAGCACTTTGTTTGATTTTGGAGTAAAACTCAACTGTTCCTCTCTGTGAGAGTTGTAAAATGACCTTCTGTCCAAAACTGTGGAGTGTTTCTTTAATTTCTGCTCATTTTCAATATATTTCATGCCTATTTTGGTAAATAAGACATGATGTACAGTCACTCTCATAGTGTTTTCTTGACTCTGGTTTAAACAAAAAATAAACACATGTGATGTGTTTTGGTGATACAGTTATTGTCTTTGTGTAAACTACAGCATGTATTTTCAGCTTTTCTCACAGATTCATGTGTACAAGAATTGATCTACCAACATTTCTGTTTTTAGTACAGGGTTATTCATCAAACAATGCTTTGATCTGCTTCCTTACAGCTGTTGTGGAAGTGATGAATATGAAACTTCAGCAACTACACAGTCAACAGGCATCACAGTCTGGCACCACCAAAGCCTAAAGACGGTTAAAAGAAGCATGGCAGAAAATATAGATCCCAAGCCTTCAACATTCAGATGGATCCTTTCTGATCTCTTGAAATGGAGAACTGCTGCTCTGATGTCAACATGTTATTCACATCTCGTTGGGGGAGAATAAAGTCCAGCACTTTGTCTACATTAAACAAATATTCTTTTTTTCTGTGCCATGTTTTTCTTCTCATATATAGTGAACAATTGGAGCATTGGGCACGGCCGATGGCTGTATCCACAAAACCTCCCTTCAGTGGGATTAATGTCTTTGGAGGAGATTTACTTTGTGGCACAATGTAGCTTTGTGGTAAACACTTGGCATGGATTGTTTTAAATGCAGCAAATATTTACACATGAAACCTGTTAAAAATGTTCTTGCTGGGCTAAAAGTGAGTGCACCCAAATTCTCAAGCAAAATAATGAAAAATTGATTTCAAGAATGGCTTGATTTGTTGTCCCAAGCAGATGCGTTACTGGTCAGTGTTACAGAGAGCAGCAACTTTATGACTACTGTAATATGCTTATGTACAATTTTTCCACCCATGCTAAAAAATAAACAATAAAAATTGACATTTAAAATCTGACACTGATGTGTTGCTTATGAAAATGAAAACTCTTTCTGAAAATAGCTTCAGGATAATTTAATGAAGAATATGATAGATAGATGGATGGATTGATAGATGGACTATCCATACATCTCTGCAATGACTCACATAACTTATTAATAAAGTCATCTGGAATGGCAAAGAAAGTGTTCTTGCAGGATTCCCAGAGTTCATCAAGACTCTAGATTAATCTTTAATGCCTCCTCCATCTTACTCTAGAGATGCTCAACAGTTTTTATGTTTGGTGACTGGGCAGGCCAATCCTGGAGCACCTTGACCTTTGCTTTTAGGAATTTTGATGTGAAGGCTGAAGTATGAGGAGTGCTATCCTGCTGAAGAATTTGCCCTCTCCTGTGGTTTGTAATGTAATGGGCAGCCCAAATTTCTTGATACCTCAGGCTGTTGATGTTGCCATCCACTCTGCAGAGCTTTTGCACGCCCCTATACTGAATGTAACCCCAAATCATGATTTTTCTATCACCAAACTTCTGTTTCTGTAAGATTCTTGGGTCCATGCAGGTTCCAATAGGTCTTCTGCAGTATTTGTAATGATTGGGATGCAGTTCAACAGATGATTCATCAGAAAAATCTACTGTCTGCTGTCATGATTGTCTATGAATGATTCTCTGTGTCATTATCGTCTGTAGATGATACCCTCGTCAGGATCGTCTGTAGATGATCCCCTCATCAGGATCGTCTGTGGATAATTCTCTGTGTCATGATCGTATGTAGATGATACCCTCGTCATGACCGTCTGGATAATTCTGTGTCATGATTGTCTGTGGATGATTCTGTGTCATTAGCCGGCAGCTAGCTTTCTGCAACTCTCACATGGTCGCCCACTGAAGCTAAGGGCTGCGCCAGGTCAGTACCTGGATGGGAGACCACATGGCAAAGCTAGGTTGATGCCGGAAGTAGTGTTAGTGAGGCCAGCAGGGAGTGCCCAACCTGCATCCTGTGTGGATCCTAATGCCCCAGTATAGTGGCGGGGACTCGATACTGTTCAGTTAGCGCCATCTTTCGGATGAGATGTTTAACCAAGGTCCTGACTCTCTGTGGTCATTAAAAATCCCAGGATGTCTTTCGATGGTTTGTGAATGATTCGCTGTGTCATAATTTTTTGATGATTCTCTGTGTCATGATAATCAGTGGATGATTCGCTGTGTCATGATCGTCTATTGATAATTCTCTGTCATGATAGGCTATAAATAATCTGTGTCAATCATTTGCTGTGTTATAATGGTCTGTGAATAATTCTCTGTGTCATGATCGTCTATGAATGGTCTGTGTGTGTCGAAGATTGGCTGTGTTATGATGGTCTGTATGATTCTTTGTGACGTGATTATATAGTATGATATGTATTATATTGGTTGGTCTGTAGATGATTCTGTGTCATGGCTCATGGTTGTCTGTGGGTCTGTGAAGATAATTTGCTGTGTTTTGATGGTCTCTGTGGATGTTTATGGATGATTCGCTGTCACAATAAATTTTGGATGATTTCCTGTGTCATGATGGTCTGTGAATGATTTGATGTGTCATCATCTGTGGGTGGTCTGTGGGTGTTTCTCTGTTCCATTATCATCTATGAATGGTCTTGTAGGGATGGTTTACAGTTTGACCTAATGAATGACCAGTCTGGTAGATGAAGAAGAGCGGGACTCAGAGATTTAAATAAATAAATCTAGTTGAAGCTGGCTTCTGCTGATGAAACTGCAAACTATCTTAAAGATACTTGATTTATTCAAATCTCTGACTCCGGCTCTTCTTCATCTATCAGACTGATCATTCATTAGGTCAAACTGCAAACCATCCCTACATTTTGTGTCGATGATTTACTGTCTGTATCATGGTCCTGTGACATGGTCTTCTGTGGTTGGTCTGTGAAGATGATTTGCTGTGTTATGATGGTCTCTGTGGATGTTTGTGGGTGATTCGCTGTCTCATAATAATATTTGAATGATTTCATGTTTCATGATGGTCTGTGGATGATTTGATTTGTCGTGACGGTCTGTGGATGGTCTGTGTCGATGATTTGCTGTGTCATGATGATCTGTGGATGATTTGATGTGTCATCATCATCTGTGGTCTGTTGATGTTGCTCTGCCATTGTCGTCTATGAATGGTCTGTGGATGTCGATGATTTGTGTCATGATCGTCTGTGGATGATTCTGTGTTATTATCGTCTGTGGATGATTCTGTGTTATTATCGTCTGTGGATGATTCTGTGTCATGGTCGTCTGTTGTTGTTCTGTGTGAATTATTTGCTGTTTCATCATGATCTGTGGACGGCGATGATGGTCTGTGTTTGGCCCGCGGATGATTCGCTGTGTCATGTTCGCTGTTGCCCGGCTGCAGATTCTCGGAGCGTCTGTCGCTATGCGGCGAGGGCGCCTGCTGGTTGCTATGCGGCGCGACGCGTGTTGAGCGCTGTTGCCAGGGAAGAGCGAGCGCCATGGAGGGGGTGGTCGCATTGTCTGTCGGGACGGTGGCGGTGTGTGAATTTCTGCCTTCTGTCAGAAACGTTCGCTGATCTCCTTTAAGGCTAATTAGGGAATGAAGCAGACCCCTTCTGGAGATACATTCGCGGACGTTCGTGTTATTAGCGCGGCCCCGTTTTCTTTTCCATTTACTTTCTGAAACGGTAAGAGCAACCTGTCCTAACTAGCTAGAGCAAGTGCTTGTTGCGTTCAACCGGCGAGAGGAGCGGGCGAGGAGATCGCGGAGAGAGAGGGAGAGTGACCGGCCGGTGCAGAGCTAGAGGCGGCCGATGACTTCGGAGAGCAGCGGCCAAGCGCAACAGAAGGCGGAGGTCGAGCCGGGATCAGTCGTCCGAGATCAAGAGGAGAAAACCGGCGAGAAGCACGGCGGCATGGTGAGCTCAGGCCTGTGGTGCTGAATCGGCACAACCCCCTTGAACCCTCCCCCTAAACACAACGTTAACTTTTCCCGTAGAACTGAACACTCATAATTATGACAAACGAGTTTTAACTACCCACACTGTCTTTTATCGAACCGTTCGGCACCTCTGTTTACTTGTATTATGTTGAAAAGCTAACGTTAACATTATGTGTCCTCGCTCGGTGCCCTGTAGATTAGTTCCTAAGCAAAGGTATCGATTTATCGAAGTCGTTCAGCTTAATAACCGCTTAGTTGAGTATTAGCCACGTCTGGCTAGCCGGCTTTAGGTCAGAGACCGTTAAGTCGACATTACTAGGCAACATACTTTAAATCTGTTGGCTTCGTGTGCGCATAAATTACAAAGCACGTGCTCATATTCTAGCCAGCGGAGCTCGATACTGTAATGTTTTCATAACTCTGAGGCGCGTGACACATGTTTGGTTGACAAATGTTTTATTGCAAGCAGGTTAACGTTGTTTGGATGTTAATTCAAATATGTCGAGATCACCTGACAGCCTGCTTTGGGCCACATCTAACTTTACTTATTAAAAATTAACTGCTTCTTTCTGTAGTTTGGCAATCATTCACTGGAGCAATAAGACTAAAGCAATAAGACATTTAAAGAGTGTACACAGTATAATAAGTATTATTATATCCCAGCGGTTACAATTACATTTATTGGATTGTTCTCACACAAGTAAATGTAGTTTAACAGCCAGTCGAGTTTTGTGGGTGTTTTTCTTTTTTTAGTTAACAGATCAAACAAATGATAACTCTCTTGTACTTTGAACATGTCTGGTTCATCAGGAACGATGTGCTGTTATAGATTTACCCGGATTCTATGTGCCTCTATAAAGGATGCTATGGGTCGTTTGTTGTTGTACTAAATGATTAGGTTGTCTTAACTTTGTACTGTTATATTATTAGGTCAAACCTTGGTCATTTAAATTGATGTTTATTTAAGAATTTTCCTTAAGAATTTTCCTAATGAAGATCACATACAGTATATTGGATTATCATATTCATGTGACCATGGTGTTCAAATTGTACCTCAGTGCCATTGTGCTACATTGGTGGTTGGTGTCAGATCTGGACTCGCACCAAAATGAAACTTGCATATTCAGGTTTGATTCCAGTTTCTGTGCCAAGCTTCTTCTGCAGGGTGCTCTCTCTCTCTTTATTTTAGCATTATGCCAACATCTGTCTAATACAGTATGTACAATTCTGTATCCTTACAGTAGTGGGATACAATTTGAAAGATTTATTGCTTACAACATTTACTGCTTGCAATTTACAATATAAAGTTTTTTTTTTTAAAACTGTATTGAACTCAGAATTTGTACACCATATAAATAATTGTAAAAAAGAACATGTATATAATCAGAATGAAAATGACCCTCCAGTTTTAAAATTTTTATTAGTTTATTTCAGGACTAAATAAATGTTTATGTGTATATGGCCACTTTATTATGTACACCTTACTAGAACTGAGCAGAACTTTCTTAATCCTTCATGGTATAGATTCAACAAGCCAAGGTACTGGAAATATTCCTCAGTTTTGGTCCATTTTGACATGGTAGCATTACACAGTTGCTGTAGATTTGTCGGCTGCACACTCATGATGCAAATCTCCCATTCCACCACATCCCAAAGGTGCTCTATTGGATTGAGCTTTGGTGACTGTGGAGGCCACTTTAAGTACAGTGAACTCATTATCATTTTCAAGAAAGCAGTCTGAGATGATTCGTCCGTTATGACATGCTGGCAGTAGCCATCAGAAGATGGGTACACTGTAGTCAAAACGGGATAGACATGGTCAGCAACAATACTTGGGTAGGCTGTGGCATTAACAATGCTCAATTGCTACTAATGGACGCAAAGTGTGGCATGAAAATATCCCCCACACCATTACACCACCACCAGCCTCAACTGTTAAATCAAGGCAGGATGGATCCATGCTTTCATGTTGTTGATGCCAAATTCTGACCCTACCATCCAAATGTCGCAGCAGAAATCAAGACTCATCAGTCCTGGCAACGTTTTTCCAATATTTTGTTGTCCAATTTTGATGAGCCT